TTGACCTTAGAACTGAAGAAGCTTCTCGGATGAGAGGTGAAACGTCTTCAAGCAACTTAAAGAAGTCCAGACGCTTTTCTTTGCAAGCTCCTTTGACTGTTCACTTTACAAACACGTCAGATCAGATACAAGGAGCTGAATTCACGACACGCCGAAGACCAAAGAGAAAAAAATTGGCTCGTTTATTTCACTGAAATGTCATGTGACCAACTCAAAACGGTTCTCTGTCGTTTGTTTGGCCCCCACGTGATGGTGTGTGTGCCCGATGACACCAGGGCCTGCTTCTAATGAGACGACCTGTGGTGCCCTCCCAGGTCTGGACAAGGCATCACTGAGTTCCTGGACAGTCTGAGGTCCAACCTGATGGTGTCAGGTGGACAGAAACATAATGAGGTGCTCTGTTGGATTTAGGTCAGGCGAGCTTTGGGGCCAGTCAGTGATATTCATTTATCCTCCAGGAAGTGCCTGCAAACTCTGTCCACATGAGGCCGGGCGTTAGTGTGCACCAACGTAGAGTCTGCAGTGAGTGGAGGATCTCCGTACCTAATGGCAGTCAGGGTGGTGGTATCTAGCCTGTAGAGATCTGTCTGTACTTCCCTCCATGGATTTGACTCCCAGACCATCACTGAGCCACCAAATCACTGATACAGAATCATGTTACACAGATCGTGTATGTCGATCGCTCTCCTTCAACCATCTGCATCAGTGCAGGTTAATGTCTGATATCTGGCTGTCATCTGACTGTTGTTCCTCCTCTGCCTGTTCATTTTCTCATTAAAATAAACATTAATAATCATTTGTCCACTGTCACTTGAACGCAGCATGCATTTGTGATCTTGTGAGAAGCTGAGAGTGTGAAGACGATCTGTTTGTCCGAAGCGACCGACTCTGCACGCACAAAGATCGCAGGGCCTGTTCTGGCCTGCTGCTGTTTGTAGCACCGACACAGGAAGAGTCTGACGATCAGAAACATTCATCAGGACAACAGTCAGATTAAAACAGCTGAAGCTGTTTCATCAGGTGAACGATCTACGTGGAAGCTTTTTGGGTCATTATCCATCTGCACTGCAACACTGGCTCCACCATGTTGGTCACATGACGTGGTTTCCTTCAGATCATTGGCTGTTTCTCTCCTCCCGTCAGTCCGGTACTATCGAACCTTGGCTTCATGTGTTTGTCACACCTTTGGTCTTTTGTCTGAGTATTTCTGCTTCTGTTGTCATAAACATGACTAAACTGCCAGTCAGTCAACTGTCCAATTACTTTTGACACTCTGAAAATGCTCGGCTTTGTTTTTTAAACATGAATAAAAACTTTGATTTAAAATCCTCTGCGGTGACGAACAGAGTCATCAACAGTGTCGTTATTCAGATACTAACAAACTTACCTGTGTCTCTGTAAACACCTGAGATATCACAGAATGAAGCTTTGAGTCGTAGCAGCACTGAGACCTGTGGAGCAGATGGCTGAGCTGATGTGCCCGAACACGTCTGAACACTACGTGTAGATAACATGCAGGGACTTGAAGCAGGGCAGACATTTAGAAAGTGAAAGTACAAACATGCGGCCGCGCTGTGTGTAAATATGTCAATAAAAACAGAGCTCAATTTTCTCATAAATAAATATTTTGTTCATTTATCCTGTAAACGGTTTAAACTGGAAAATGCACCATCTTAAGAAAAAATGAGCGCAAACCTTGACACGCCTGGACCGCCTACTCATGTCGTTTCTCCATCACCCTGGTGGTGGCCTCTGACGTAAAGGGACAAAAACGACAGCTTGTAAAATAATAAACGTCAGTGTGCGTCTAGGAGCTCAGAGATAACGTAGACACTCAGCAGATATGTGCGGAAAAGCTTTTTCATTGACAGCCTCTATTTTCAGCAGGACGATGTTAAACCACACGCAGCAGGACTGCGTAGCAGACGAGTCCAGGTGCCAGCTGCCGCCTCCAGCTGCTGTGCTGCTGTCTGAAACTGAGAAACTCGACATTTCAAAATTGAGCCGGCTTCACCTCTGCAGCGGCTGATTCACCTCATCAACCTTTTCTGCCTCCTGCGTTCGTTGGCTCGCTGTGCTCAAAAAACATCTTCTGAGAATAAGTTTTGTGGAGCTCAAAAGAGAAATACAATCATTTTAGTCAGATCTAAAAACATTTATTGACCAAAACAACTTTAATGTGAATCCTGTTTCTGATCGTACACGACTGCTTCCTGTTCTCAAATGTAAATGAAGTACACATCTGTGTGGGGTCAAAGCTGTGTGCCCAGAGGAGACGATGAGGCTGAACGGACCAATCGAGATGGAGGCGACGACTCAGGTCGAGCCCTGCCCCCTGGTGGTCATTTGGTGGTATCAGCTGGTTAAGCTGCAGATTAAAAAGCATGTTTGAGATAAACCGAAGCACGAGGTGGTGCCTGAGTCGACACAGAGCTGCGGCTTTAACGTCATTCACGGACACGTTTAAACACGTCAACCTGACAGGAAACCATTTTTCCATTTCTAGTACTTTAAAAATATTAAATATTTTTTGGTATTTTTAAATATTTTAAAAACTATTTAAAAAATATGGTTGTTGTAGTAATACTTCTGGAATAATTTAGTAGGGGATAGTACAGATACAATTAGTACTGAAAACCTTTAATTTCTTGTGAGACTAATGAAATGAATCAGTGTTGTTGGTATTATGCAGCGTCCACAGTCACATGATTTGATGGATGTGCAGGTTGTGTTTGACGTGTCAGCTGTTTTATACTCAAACCTATTGTAACATAATTACACATTTACAGCTGTTAAAATCCTCTGATGTACAATAAAAAACCTTCTTACTTTAGAATAAAACAGTTAAAACTTATAAACCTGTTTAATGTTACGATGACCAAAGCAGCGCTGCTGGTTTCAGCTTCACTTTTCATCTACGAGCCTAAACGTTCATTTAAAACCAAAAACTTAGTGTTGAAAAACAAAGATTCAACTATTTAAACAGGTTACAAGTTTGTCCTTCTTGCTCGGCAGTAAATATTTTTACAACTTGAGATCACGTCATGGAGCAGTGACTCCATCACATTCAGCTGTTTTGTGCAGTAACTTTAAGAAGATGTGGAAATGTTTACTTTCAAACGCTGAAAAGCATCTTTGGGCGTCGATCTGAAGCCTCGACCAGCTGAGCCGTGTTGATCCTGATCCAGCAGGGAGACCTTCCCTCTGCTGTGGCCTGTTCTAAGCAGCCCGATATGAACCTTCAAATTTTACCCAGAATGCACTTTGTGAAGTTTTCTCCGGTGAATCAAATCGATCAAACAGCGATGCTCGTTCCTAGGGATGGGTATCGTTTAGGTTTTATCCGATGCCGGTGCCAAACCGGTACTTTTGAAACG